CTTGCTGCCCGTTTTGCATGATTTTACATACTCATTCCCCACACCCAAATGTATTTATGAGAAGGGAAAGGAGAAATCTGATCCCAAATGTCATCCCCATCTGTCAGAAACTCCCTAACTGCCAGGTAACTTACAGGTTTCTCTGTGAAGGTTTGATGCAGCCTGAGCTGCTTAATGCAGCACCGAGACATCAAAGGTGAGACCACTTAGGGGCCCAGAGTCATCATCCTCTTTAAGGTTACACATCTCCCTGTTTAATGTGCTGAGTTATAGTCACTAAGCCCCAGCATGGAGCTGCTGACACAGTACTAGGCAGTGATTTATCCTGCAGGCTAATCTCTAACAAAATTTAATGATTCTGAAGTCTGTAAATACTGATTATAGACTAAAAACCTGTTCATATTCCTGTTAGAATTCAGCATTTTAAAAGACATATATATATTATGTTAATTTTACAGGAGAAAAACCAGAAATGTTTTCTATAAAAAAAGCAGGAACAATAAACCTTTGAGTAGAAGCCATTGAAAAGGATTCAAATAATATGATTTTTATAATGTATCTATTACTTCCAGCAGAAATGGGGCAAGGAGGAAGCAGAATGTGAGGGCAGCCTTGTCTCTGTGCTCCTAACAGCAATCCCATTTCCCTTGAGGTTTCAGTGTGGGATTCACTCTGTTTGCAGTTTTCAGGCAAAACTTGTGATTTACACTTGTGGTTTCAACTCTCCAGCTGGCTGCTAACCCAGGGCTGAACACACAGAACTCTCCTAGGTGACACTGGGGAGTTTTTTAAGGAAGAAGCTTCATGCTGGAATAAAGGACTGCTTGAACAGAACAAGGGTTTGGAGACAAATCCAGCAGGATTGTGGAAATGGGCTGTGTGGCTTGCTCTGAGGCACAGCTAACAGCATCACTCAGCCTGGGGCACTGGAAAAGCAAAGCATATCCCAATCCTGTGCTGCCTTTTTTGGAATACAGGAATGAGCAGGTTAAAGTTTAAAAACAGAGACAGTGTTTTCTCCTCTGAATGTGACAGGTTTTGAGGACAATGGGAGAGAAGCTTGGTATGTTTATCACAGGACATTTATTCAGTTATTTTCTGTTTGGACCAACAGAAAAGCAATATAGGGCACATACATGAAAATTAATTATAATTGCAATTTAATTATCTTCTGAATATTTTCTTGCAGGTTATTAATGCAGTTGACCAGTCTTTTGGTCTGGTTATACTGGGGCAGTCATGGTTGCACTATAACGTGCACAGTGTGGTATTACTAGCACACTGAATAAAGTTAGACACAAATTTGGAAGGTACAACGTGCATGACTTGATAACCTACAGTAGTATGAAATCTTTTCCTAAGCAGGAATTTAAAATGTCCCTGGCAGTGTAATACTTACATTGCCACATTTTGTCAGGCACACACAGTCAGGCTAAGTGCTCAATTCAAACAGGAGCATAATCCTTGCAGAGGGTCCTACCCTCTATGCTTGTTAATTCTGTTCCTTGCAGCTGTTTCTGGCTAATACAGCACACCTTTAGTGACAATCCATGGCTTAAGCCTTGTAGCTCAGTGATTTAAACGTGTGAAGATGTGCACTAATCCTCTCTGAGCTGTGTTACATTGGCTTTGGTTCTGTTAAAAAATGGAATTTACAGGAAAGACCTGCATTTGCTGGTCATGCCTGTGACAACCCTGATCTCCAGTCAGAGCATCCTGCCTGTTCCAACACACACATGAGAATTCTCTGCTGGTACTCTCTGAAGAACACTCCATCACAAAACCTTTCTAACTGAAAGCTGAGGCCCCAACAGCAACATTTACAATGTGTGGAACAGTTAAGAATGTTGCCCTTTGATTACAGAAAACAGGGGTAAACAGGGAGGAACAGCCAGGGCACAGACAAAATCTGTCTTCCCAAATTTAAGAAAACATTTGCACATAGCCAGTAGGATGCAGGAGTCATTAATTCCCTGGAAATCAAAATGAAAGTGAGAGAACACTGGGCTCCTTTTTCAGACTCAGAGAAGGATTTGCATGCCAAAGGAATGTCCTTCCTGCTGCTGCCTGCAAACCTCCCTTCAGTCACAGGCTCCCTGGTTAGATTGCTACTACATTGGCTTATGAAGAGGCAATCTCACAATCATCTGTGACCTATTGCTACAACACCTTCAATTTCTAGAACTGGAAAAGACTGAAGAACTCCCAGGCTCTGTTTCCAGTATAACAATGTTTTTCCCATAGAATGCTCAAGGCAATTTTTCCAAAAGCATTAAAAAAGTATTGTCATTGCAGCATTTGCTAAAAAATACATCACATTGCAGGGCACAATTATCTTTTAAATGTAAGGCAAAGCTGGTGGATAAGTGTATTGTGGCATAATTCCTAACACTGCACTCAACATATGTGATCCATTCTTTCCTAACCAGTTCATTTGTGCAGAAGAATTTTAATTCTTCTCTCTGGTTACCAGTGACAGGACCCGAGGGAATGGCCTGAAGTTGTGTCAGAGGAGATTTGGGTTAGATATTAGGAAAATGTTCTTCCCCCAGAGGTGTTTGGGCCCTGGAAGCTCCCCAGGGCAGTGGTCACAGCCTCAAGGCTGACAGAGCTCCAGGAGTGTTTGGCCAATGCTCTCAGGCACAGGGTGTGATCCTTGGGATGTCCTGTGCAGGGCCAGGAGTTGGACTAAATCCTTGTGGGTCCCATCCAAGGGATTATTCCATGGTTTTTCTGGCATTTGTATCTAAAACAATTGTGTAGTAATTCTTTTACCTATGAACTCCTTGATAAGAACAGATAAAAGTTTTTAAAATGCTAGTTCAGGATGACCAAGTCTGGAGTGGAAATTCTTGTATTTGATAGTTAGAGTAAAGCATTTACAGTACTCACAGAGTGAATTCCTAGTCAGCATGTCGAGCACTGGAGTTGAATACAGAGTGACATTGCCATGCCTGACAATACTGAAGAACAGCAAAATACACAGTTTAAACAACAGATGCCTGATGGGCTTCTTTATGGTCAGGGACAACCTGAGTAATTCAACAATGCTGTCTTATTCCAAAGGGCAGTGACCAAGTCATGAAAAATAACCTATCAAAATTTGCCAGTGTGACAAATTCCCAAAAGGTGGTTTCAGTCAATAGTTTCTTTAAATGGCTTGTGAAATTCTCCTCAGAGCTGTAGCATGAGGGAGAATTCCACAGCTACAAATCTAAGCACCTCAGAGCTGGGGAAGTACAAATATATATTGGAAGTTGCTCTTCCTCACAATGGGAAAATGTCAGAGATCAGTTATTCTTCCTGTAATGTTAAGTGCAGGTGTTGGCCAAGAGAAATTTCTCCTGGACGTGCTGACATCACTTTAGCCTGTGGGACTTCTTACAGCATCACCTTCTCAAACAGCACTTCGATCCTCCCACAAAGTGAGTCAGTGACACAGTTTGTTGCAGCAGGTTTGCTTCCCAGTATGAGCCATCAAGAGAAACTAAACAGAGTGAATCATATCAGCTACCTTGATATTGTCACAGCCTTTATTAGTTTTACAGCTACCTTGAAACACTGATCTTTAGAGTGGAAAAGATGACAGCTGAAGTCAAGTCAAAGTTCAGAGTTTATGGTTATTCCTGACCCATAATATCAGCCTTTGCCTTCTCTTCAGTAATAGCACAAGGAAAGGACCTACTTTTGAATGAGTGTACATGTGGGTTTTATCCTTGAATGAGCTGAGAGCTAAAACGAAGATGAGCAAGGGATTGGATCAAGTGACCTCTAGAATTCACTTCCAACACAACATTTGTGTATAACTCTGTGACAGCAACACTCTCTGTCCTGCTTATCTCCACTGCTGACTGATGAAGCTCTATAAAGTAACTGTGCAGGCTCAGGGCACTGATCTGTAGAACAGCTAGCTCAGACACAAACCCTAACTCGTGTTAGGTGCTGTTTGAGGTATTTTCATTCACCTCCTGTATTATCCACCACCCTTCATTTCTTGCTGACTGACACAGAAGGAGCCAACCTAGGACAGGAGAGAAGTTATTGCATTAAGCTAAGTGGGCCAGATACACTCCAAACCTCCTGTATTTCCCTTCCCTATAAAACCTGGAATGTAGCTTTGAATTTGCTGGATAGGGTATTTTTTTTTTCAGTCAATAATGAAATAGTAGCTTATAGGAGACAGGTCTATGAAAGTACAAATTCACTGCTCAGTCAAAAAAATGCAAATCAAAATGCAAAAATCACTCAATACAATCTTTTATCCACTCTATTTTTTATAAAAGAGATTAATTTCCCTTTTTTGAAAAAAAAGTGATGCTTTGTAACTGCAAACAGGGTTTGCACATTTTATACAACCTTTCTGAGCCCCTGATGCCATTGACACAAGAAAGGGTTTCAAATAACTCTACCAATGACACACAAACTCACTTGAGGAGCTTCTCTGCATGAGGCAGAGGAAGTAACATCCTCACTCTGTTTCTGGTGAAGACTGTCCCACTGCCATAGGCACTTTCACACCTATCACACCTGACTTTATGTAAGCTCAAGATTGCATAAAACTTTGTCCTGCTCAACCCATGTGTTTTTTTCTGTGAACATCTTTGTGGGTTTCCTCCTGCCGACCAGAAGGGAAGGCACAGACATCTGTGGCAGCTTGTCAGTGATACAGGCAAGTCACTACAAAGCATAAACTAGAACAAAGGTTTTCCAGGGCCTCACAGTGTACCTCAGCACTTAAATAAATGTGTGTCATCTCCCAAACTGAGTGCTAGAAACTATAACCTCATTTACCCTTGAGAACTTTGGTGGTCTAGCAGCAAACACTGACTGGAACTTTGCATGCAGATGGATGTCTGGTTTGTTCAGATATGTTTCAAAATGAGAATTCAGCTTTTGCATGCATAACTGTATCCCCAAAGGTGAATTTTTATCTTTAGCTGCTGTTATGGGTAGGAAAAGTGTTATTATTGCTTCACATTATCTCTTTTTTCTTGGAACAGGATAACGTGGATCTTGGTGACCTTATGTTTTCACTCTGCTACCTTCCAACAGCTGGTAGACTAACTATTACAATAATAAAGGCAAGAAATTTAAAGGCAATGGATATCACAGGAGCATCAGGTATGAAGGAATTTAATGCTCTGTGTGGATTTCGGTCCCATTTCCCTCCCAAGACACAGAATTCAACACTGCCAAATCCCGGAATGATTTTTGAGAAGAGGGTTCTTATCTTGTGAGCTCTTGAGTTAACGTCAGTACAGGAGTTTATGAGGAAAAAAAATCATATATTTTAGCTTGCACAGTTGCAATCAACAACATAAAATAATTTGCTCTTGAATAGACTGCAAGATTATTATTTCTAAAGCTGCTGTGATTCAGAGCAGCACGAGTTGGCCAAAATGCACTCTTGACACTGGGAATTAGTTTGTGCAGCAAAGTGTTTGTCATGGCTATGGCACAGGCACAGTCTGACCCTCTCTGACAGTTTCCAAGAGCCACTGAGCCAGTTCTGCTCTTGTTGGCATATGGACAAAACAGTGATCATCCCAGAGTCATTTCAGCAACCATTCCAAAACTTGATAATGAAAATTACAGACTAATTTAAATAAGAGTTCATTGATGAATCTTAAATACTAGCAGGGAGTTGTAGAGCTCCCAGAAAGGAGCTACTAAGAAATAACTTTTTTTCCACTATGTTCAGGAGTTTTAAAATAATTATAATTCTCTTGAGAAATATAAGCCACTAATTGTTACTCTTTGAATTATATTTAATCACACAGCAGCAAATCCCGTTGTGAAAAACACTGTCAACTTCTGTCTGTCCTACAAATCTAACAAGTAATTAGGCTGCCATAAATAGGCTGATCCACAGGCTGTTGTATAAAACAGTCATGTATGGCATGGTTCAGTGGATATTTTAATACTCTTTGAGAAGTTGGAACACAACAAGGAGCTTCTTGAACCTAAATTGCTCATTATATGCAGTCAACCAGGTAAAACTTTCAAAGCTCCACTGCCTCCCAGGCATTCCATGGTAACAAAGAAGCTCAGATTCCAGTCAGGTCCAGAAGATTAATTCTGCAAGCAGGTATGGGCAAGTCTGCTCCCTTCACTTTCCATTTGTGTTTGCTTAAAAGCATCAAAAGAAAATCAACATTGTTCTTATGATTCACACAGATCCCTACGTGAAGGTTTCTTTAATGTGTGAAGGAAGGCGACTAAAGAAAAGAAAAACTTCCACCAAGAGGAATACCCTTAATCCCGTTTATAATGAAGCCATAGTCTTTGACGTCCCTCCAGAAAACATTGACCAAATTAACTTGTGGATAGCTGTTATGGATTATGACCGGTGAGATACCTGTAGCTGTAAAATGACATCAACTATTGGCTCATAAAATCTTGCACAGTAGATTTGCATCCAGAAAGAAAGGTGTTATTGTTCCCTATACTTGGGAAATTCACGTCATGTTGAGTTGGGTAGAAGACTCAAATGTTTTTGTGTTGTCAGGCAGAATTTCCTTTCTCAATTCTAAACTAGAGATTTGCAGCCATAACTGACATAACTAAGCATCATGTACGTTTACCAGAACTGAAGGAGCTAAGCATATCATCAGTGTCCACACACTAATGTTCTGTTTGTGCAGTTACTCAAACCCCTTACACACTTCCCTCCGTTTCTGTAGTTGTGGCTTAGAGTTTACTTGTGTTTGCAACTAATTGCAGAACACAGGCAAAGAAATGTTTACATTCTTCATGCAAAAATAAGAAACAAATGCACACAGCCACACAGTCTGTAATGGGGGAAATATTAAGTGCTTTTGATTAGTGGGAAATGCAAAGAGCAAACCTGTGTACTTTGTAGTTCATTGGATTTTTCTGGCAAGAATTAGTTCTAAATATCCATGGTTGATGTGTTTGATGAAATATGTGAGTGGTATGGTTCTAAAGGTAAAATTTTAAGAAAAAAATATTATGGAACATTTTCACAGTGTAGGTCACAATGAGGTCATTGGAGTGTGTCAAGTAGGCAACGATGCAGAAAGTCTAGGTCGTGACCACTGGAACGAAATGCTCTCCTACCCTCGGAAACCCATTGCTCACTGGCATCCTCTTGTAGAGGTAAGGCTTTTATTTCTTCCTTCCCCATTGCGATATTGGTGAATATTCTTCTATATGGATAAAATTTTATGGACAAACCTAAGGTCCACATGCATGAAGTAAATCCTAGAACAGGACTTGGAAACACTGGTACTAAAAGTCAAACATAGCAGGCAAGTTAAGTCTCCTCCTGTCAGTTTTAGGGAGACAGAAAGTAACATCTGTAATATATACATGAAAACACCAAATATTCTCCGCTTGATTAAGGGTTTGGTTTTGCTTTTTAAGTAAGATCTTGGGTAACTTTCACTGATAATTTATTTAAAGAAATGGACCTTGTTTACAGAATAATCAAGACCTATTTTTTTCATACATAACAACCTAATTTGACTTCTTTTCTTGTAACAATATGTCATCCATGGCACTAGCACATCTCAAAGGATGCCTAACTGCACTGAAAACTGATATGTTTAAGTGTCTCTGGAGATCTGAGGCGCTGATAAGAAGCGACACAATCAGAAAAGCTTTTCAAGGTTCCTATGGTTTTTTTTGTTTTGTTTTGTTTTGTTTTTTGTCTTTAGGGCCC